TATAAATAATGATCAATGAATAAATAATTAAATATTAAAATCGTTATTCATTTTATTGAACTTTCTCAAGATCAATTATATAAGTAATTAAATGATAAAAGGTTGAATCATTAATAATTGTTATCATAGTTCAAATAAAGAATTAAGCTAAAGAGCCAGATAAATCCTATAAATTAAAAAAATGATTGCATTTAATTAATATACCAATCATAATGATAGACTCATTCGCTTTTAAAAAAACATTATTATACAATATTTTTGTATAAAAAAAAAGTAAATTGATAAACATCATTAATATATTGGATGCCTAGTTTATAAATCTAAAGAGTAATTTGTTAATCATTCAATATAATGGAATTTTTAATTCTGAACCAACTAATATTTCTAATTTGAATTTCAGTCTAATATGCCCTTTTATTTGTGTTTTTTTATAATACAAGATGAAAGGTTTTATTTAATAAATATTAAGTAAAATCAAGATGAATAGATAAATAATAATTAATTATTTTAAATTAATTAATTATCTTAAACTGATATTGAGTTATTTAAGAAATTAAAAATAATTATATAAATTCAGAAATGGTTATCATAAGAACTGAATGAGAAATGAAAAAAACTTAAAAAAACTAGATATCATCCTGATATAAAAATGCTGTATTTTTTTTTCATTTAAAATAAATATAAGTGTTAATATGATGAAAAAATAACATTTTATAAATAAAGTAATCTTTTTCATTATTTCTAAGAACTTATCCTATTTATCTCATCAATTTTTAATTTTGCTTTTTTTCATCCTTGTTGATTTTCATATCTAAACATTTATGCAGTAAAATAATCAATTTAAGAATTATAATAAAAATTATTATTTCAAGCATAGATAGATAATTTATTTAAAAATGCAAGATTGTATTTAAAGAAAATACGAACTAAAAAAAATTGCAATAATTAATAATCATATGTATTTTAGTATTAAATTATACAATCTAATTTTTAATTTAATTCTTTTTTAATATAATAATATATATCTTTATCACACCTTGAATTTCTCATCTTGTTTCAAAATATTTTTATTTCCAATAATTTATCTTAAGTTTTTACTTAATTATAAAGTATTTGCTCAACTAAAAAATTTTAATTAGTAAAGTTTAAAATTAGTTGTTAATAAACACCATATTAAGTATTGAATTAAATAGTATAGATGATTTAATTGGTTTATATATTGCAATTATAAGTATGAGAGTATGAATTATTAAAAGTTCCATTACCATTTTGAAAATTACTTTCAACTATTTCACTATATTAACAGATATAAGATATTTTAAATGTAAGTAACTGGGTAAATTTTTCAATTAATAAGGAGTAAATACCAGTAGAATTGAAGATCTATTTTTAATTCTATTAAGTAAAAATTTCAATTTAAAGCAATGAAGTCGTCTATTAAACTTGAAGTCTATTTTATACTATTTCTAATTTTTATAACTACAATCGTATATAATTATTGGCTAATTTATATGTTATCCAATAAGATTTGATTTTGATATGACTGAAAATTCCCCCTATAATTAAATAAAATCTATACATTAAGGGAATTAATAAGAGATAGTTGATTAATCTTCTATCCATTACACTAAATAATATAAATTGCCTGATTTACGATAAATAAATTCTTCAATAACGACAAAGATCCATGATTATGGCTATTTTTAAATTTAATCACTTTAATATGGAGCCAAAAGGGTTCTATTTTCTATTATAGTGAAAGCTTCTGTAGGGCCTAAAATTATTTAGAATCCTATTTAATTTAATGAACCTTTATTTTCTATTAAATTATTTATTTCTATGCTGACATTATTTGGAGTTATTTCTGTTATCTAAAGAAATCTCATATACTTTACTTAAATTGAAAGATTGAATGGACCAGATTATGCAATGCTAGTTGGTATTAAAATACCAAACTCAGCATTAGGATTTTTATGTTCAAATGTCATTTTAGGTTATAAATCATTTGCATTAAATAGACTTATTATTTCAATGCGTTAATCATCAATTGCAAACCATTAAATCTCTACACCATAAACTCTATATAAAGGACACTTAATGGTTAAGGTGAAATCTAAAATATAATCTAATTATACTTTTTGTATTAATATTTGAGATATCTAGTTAAAATTCTGATGGTTAGTAATAAAGGTCAAGCAATTTCCAAAAAAAAGTGATCTGAGGAATGTTTAAAAAATTATCTGTAAAAGGAATCAAATAATTGTTTTTGTAATTGCTGTAACATGAAAACTATGAGTCAATCTAGAAATTTGTATTTTTGAAATAGCCTTAATCAGAAAATATGTATGCTTAGAAAATTGGAAGTAAGATAATTAAATTTAACATTAAAAAAAATACATATAAAATAAATTCTATTTTATGATTAAATATTTAATTTTGTATAAAAGTTTGCAACTTATCTTTTGAAGTTATTATAAAAAAAGGGACTAATAAGTAAATAAGGTTAAAATTTTTATTATCTCATCTATTTATGTTAACAGTTGATTGAATAAAATGCTATAGTAAGCCCTTAAGAATATATAGGCCATAGTCATGAATTTATTAATGGAATACTGAAAACAAAAAAAAGAGAAGATAATCTTTCCTTATCTTCTGGAAGATGTATATTAGTATAAACAGATTTAGAAATCATTTCTTAAGCCTTATTCCAACCATAGTCTAATTTATAACAATCTCATCTATAAGATAAGCAAATTTTGTATTAACTAAATTAGGGATGGCTTAATCGCAGAAACATGAATAAAATAGACTCTAATTGGAAAAGAGCTTTCCATTTTATTATATTTATAAGGTTCAGAAAAAGTAATAGAATTTAATAACATATGTGTTTAAAATTGCTAATTCTAAATGTTATTTTCTGGTTTTTATTGAATTAATTCATTTAATTTAGTGAAGTATTCTTTTTACTTGAACAATTCTTTGATAGTTTCCTATTGAATTTTTTTAATTTGATTTTAAGAATTTTATTCTTATTTTCTATCTTGTTTTTTAAATTACAATAAAATATGAGATTCTTAATAAATTTGATCAAAAATATTCTTATCATTCTTCTCTCTTTCTTTGAGCTCTTAAGAAATGTTTTAGAATTCAAAATTAGTAATTTATGCTAGCACAAAGTTTTGTTATTGTACTCCTTATTTAGGAGTACAATTTAATCAATTAAGGAGCCACTACTTCATTTGTAAAATTAAATACTACCAGTCTCTCTTATGATAGAGAATTAAAAGCAGAAGAAAAACTTATCACTTTTGGGAACTTAAAAAGAAAATAATATTTGAATAATAGAATTAAGTAGTTTATTTTGACATTTGAATTAAGAATTTATTACCTTATTTAAAATTGTCTTCTTTTTTGATTATGTATATATGGAAACATCAATATTATAATTTTCATATTAGCAGCTTATCTATAAGAGTTCAGTCTTCAATCACTTTATTATTTATCATGATTACTTGTATATTTTTATTGATATAATAGATCTATCAAATATATGTAAAAAAAATTCTTTAATTACATTTTCCACTAGAGTGAATATTTAAGTTTAATTTAATCCACAGTTAAAATAACATTCTTGATAAAATATGGTTCAACTAAAATTATTTTAATTTTGATTAGAAAAACCAAATGCTTTATCTTTAGAAAATATCTTATATAGCATCTTAAATAACTAATATTAGTTAATTCCATCTGCTTATGAATGTAATATAGTTTAATATTATAATAGATCATTTGAACAAAATGAAATTATTGATAATATAAATTTATATATCCTGAAAATTCTGCCAGTAGTTTTGGTTTACTTTAACATTCTTATATTTTCTTGATAAATAATCTGTTTTTTTAAAGCTTTATAGTTCGATAAAATAAATCAAAAAAAATTGAAATTTTATTATCTTAGACTCTATTTGTCGTTACATAATTTTGCTAACTAATAATCATATATGATTTTTATTTTTTAAATTGATGTTTTGTTTCAAATAAATAACAGCAAAAAACAGTTAAAAGTTCTAGTTAAAAGTATAAAAAATCATTATTAATAATAATTTAAAAATTCATAAAAAAAATATAATATTATATAACTTTTAATTTGTGAAAAAGATAAAAAAATTAGAACAGGGGAGTTAATGATCACTTCAAAAGCCTCAATGAATACATTATTGTCTTTAAATTATCGATCTATGGTACTGATATTTCGAAGTATTCACTTAAAGACTTGATAATAGAAATGGATATCCTAAATAATTTCCCCATAGGCTTATAATTCTACCTAAGACTAAGAATAACTTAAATTTTATGATTCTTATTTAGATGGTCTTTAATACATATTAAGGAGATGTAATCTGTTAAAATGATACTGAGATTATCAGAATTTTAAAATTTTTGGAAAATTCTTAATTTCGAAAAGAATATTCAGAAGATATTTTTGAGAGGATATCTTCGGAAGAGAAGATTTAGAATTATATACATTCAATAGTCTTACCTGATCTTTAGGCTAAATTTTTTGGAATAACATTCCTTAATCTTCCTCCTTTTTTTACTAATTTATGGTATGCACTTGAATGTGCTGGCTTCTACCATTTGATCTAAATGGATTATATATATAATTTAGATAGTTATCTTACAACTAATAAAATAAATTGGATTGTGATAATACCAATTATCAAACTTATCTGACGAATATAAGAAAATTGGAAATTTGAATATGTTGATAAATTAAATTTTAATAAGATATATTCTTTTTGTTGGGTTTAGGAAAGAGCTCACCAAATTGAAAATCCATTTGGTTAGACAATATCTTAAATTCATGATTGTGATAATGTCTCCCTATTTAATTATAGAATTTTTCCTCCTTTAGAAGTTAGAGGATGGAATTGGAATGGAATAGCCAATCCTAATAAAAGAGTGAAAGGATCCATAGTTCTTTTACTAATCAAGTTAAAATATACAAGGTGGGTTAGACATCATCTATGATTTATGTTTAATTGCTCAAAAATTATGATTTTTTGAAGATTCATTTTTTCAGTGAAAATTATTATGATAACTAAAACACAAGGGGGTGGGGAGACTTCCTTATGATTTTGACTAAATGAAGAGATCCACAATGTCGTTTTGGTTAAGGTGTCAAATCGACTGTTCTCCAATAACGTTGATCTATTAACAAGTAAATTATCCTATCTAAGAAGGTTAAAATTTCAGAAAAAAATGAGGATTATCAAGTAATAAATTAATAAATTGAAAACTAAATAGAAGGGATTGTTATAAAATGAAAATAATTTAAAATTTCATAGAAAAAAATTAAGAAAGAAGGGTGAAGATTTTGATAATGATGTTATTTAACTATTTAAAGATTTATCGACAAAAAATGATTTCTCTTATTGTTGAATGAGATAAATTGATTCTAGATGCCCTTTTTGTGTTATAGTTAATGTATATGTTTGATGATTTGAAAAATACCATTATTTTGTAATTTCTGTGGGATTTAAACAATTTTTTGATATACAAATATATACATTAATTCGAACTTTAAAAGGGTATCCAGAATCGATGCAGATTCATTCAATAATGAAAGAAATCATTTTTATTTGTTAATTCGTTGAAATCAGATTTAATAATTATTGAAGATTAAGAGTGAGTAAAAGTTAAAAAAAAGATAAAATCAAATAAATTAAGTAATTCTTTATATTAATTATTTATTTTTAAATTTAATAAAGTTTCAATGAAGAAGATCGTAAAATAAGAAATAACCCTTAAATAAAAAATGCAAATATATGGCCATATTTAAGTATCAAAATTATTCAATCTAGATATTTTAGAACCAAATTTACTATAGGAACCTCGTCAATAGATTTAATATCTCTATAACAATAATTTGATCAAAGCATTTATAAATTATAAGCTAATAATAAGTACATTACTATAGAATATTGATAATATTTTATCATTCTAAAGAATTGACAAGTATTGTTTAGAGTATACATTTCTAAAAATTTATTTATCCTAAATATTACTTTTTAAAGAATTCAGGGTAAATATAAATTCATTCAAAATTTCTATATTATTATTTAATTATTAATGTTACTGAAGATCCAAAAGATAAATTAATAAATTTTATACTGAAATTTAACTTATTAAAAAGAATTATAATAAATTTATTATCGAATAATACAAAATAATATTAGACTTTTATTTCGAAAAATGAATTTAGCAATAAATGAAAAAAATAGTTAAATTATAAATTGTATTTCAATGATGATATGGTAGATCTATTAGATTCTATAAAAATTTTGGATAAATTATATAAATTTCTTTATTTTTAATGAAAATGAACAAAACTTATTATTTGAAATTAAAATATAAAATTAGTATATATAGTGGATAATTGACATTACTATGATTAAGATCTAATTTTGATAATTTATTGAGAAGTCTTTCAAATTGTTAATTATATTAATTTATGATTTAAATATTGCATAAAACATGATCTAAGAATGTAATTCTTATGGATTAGATTTGATTTTATAAATTTATTCGATTGGGTGAAATCAAAGAATTGTTGAAATTTGTAATTTTGTTTACATTTTTTTACATTTAAAAAGATGATTTAAAGTAAATTATTTTAATTTGAAATTAAGCTAATGAATAATTTGAATATATTTAAAAAAAATAATTAATAAATATTTAATATAAATTTTAATAGAATTAGAACAATGTAAATGTAAATAAAATGTACCTAAGCTAATCATAAAAATCAATACATATCAGGGTTCTGCATAGATGCTTCTTGCCAAAATTAAAGACCCTATTGTAATTTTGCATACCAAGCCACATTTATCATCTAGATAAGTTAACAACTTTAGAGTTTTTATATGAATGGATTGAACAAGAAATCGTTAAGATTAATAGTATATAAAAGGATGTTTAAGAATTTAAAGCAGCCCTTGATAGCCTATTAAATTTTTTCTTTCCTTATTTGAACTTTAATATTTAATAAATTCCATAATTAGGAGTATCACAAATTGACAGTTTAATAAAAGATTTAAGTAAAATAGAGGATTGTGAAAAAACATTATTAAAGCAACTTAATTAATCAATTGAATAAGGAAAATCGATTGTAAATGAAATACTAAAAAAAATAAAGAATTAAACTGATTTAAAATATAATAATTATGTATAACTTCCACATTCTGACTTAGATAAATTAAATTTAGAATAAACAATGCATTCTTGTATATTATAACCAAATTTTAAGCCATTCACTTATGAGCTCATATAGTGTAGTCCTATTAATTAAGATGAAAATTGTTTTACAATTGTTTTTAATAAGGATTGTTCAATAGTAGCACTTGGCTGCAATGAATATATAAAAATATTTGAATTAAAATAAAGATTCTTAAATTAAATACAAGTATTAAATGGACATAAATATGATATATTTAATTTACATTTCATGAAAAAATCCGATTAGTTTATATCTGGAGATTGTAAAGGATATATTTTAATTTGGTAAAATAATAATAATTATTGGATTCGCTCATAGGCATTTAAAGGACATAAAGATGCTATTCGATGTTTAATTTTAAATAATAATGAAGATATATTAATATCTAGTAGTAGTGATCATACTATAAAATTTTGGATAAAAAAAGATAAATGGATTTGTTAATAAACTATTACAAATCATACTAATTATGTTGATTAATTAAGTTTAAATGATTTAGAAAATTAGGTTATTTCTTGTGGATGGGATAAATAAATTTTAGTAATTGAATACTCTAAATATAATTAAGAGTGGATTGTAATTTAAAATATTGAAGTTGAATGCGAAGGAAGAAAATTATGTTTTATAAACAATAATTTATTTACATTTTAACCTGAAAAAGGCAATTAGATGCATATTTATGAAATAAATGGATTAACTAAAAAGTTTACTAAAACTAAGGATATTATTGTAAATCAAAGTAATGATGATAAATATGGATTATTTGGATAATAATTTATTAGATAAAAATAGTTATTAGTGGATAAACATGATAAATGTGTCAATTTAATAAGAAAGACATAAAATGATGAATTTCAAGTTGAATAATCGATTTAATTTGATAGTAATTGTTTATATGGATAAATGAGTGATGATGGAGATGATTACTTGGGATAAATCATCTAAAGAAATATAAATTAGAAAATATACAGAAAAATGAGAATTATTAAAAAATAAAAATAATAATTTAGATTAATTTATATGCAATATATTTTTCAATTCTTCAATTATTTTATGAATACTTATAATAATTAATCACTTAGTTTAATATTTGAAATATTTTATTTAGTAGTCTTTTTTCAAAACTAAAAAAAAGCCCCATTATTTGTAAGAAACAAATTTTTATATGATTTCATAATAAATTTAGTCCGAGAAAGATTTTCGATAGAAAATAAACATTCTTATTTTAAATAGTAACAATTATTAATTTGATATGTTACCAAATAATCAATTGCCAGCAAATATGTATCATATTATATAGAATGACAGTTATAATTGAACCAATGGATAAAATTATGTGAATTTTTAATAAATGGAGAGAAAATTGCTTAGATTAGTAAAAACAGAAATAGATCAGAACCAGGATAAAAATTTAATTACTTAAGAAATTGAAATTAATAGATCATTAAATATAGATACTTTTAATATTGAAATTTTCAATTATCATCATTAAACTACTATTTGAATTATTAAGATATAATATTTAGTTTCAAAGTTGAATTATTTATAATGTAACAATAACAATACTAGTTAACTTTGTAAATTTTATTATAATATGGATTATGTTTTATTAATTATACAGATTACTGAAGAATCAGGTCAATTTTATATTATTCTAAATAAATAGTGATTTAGAATGATGATTAATAGGACGTATTTTTAATTAAAGAATTTTATGATCTTTCAACTAGTAAACAAAGAATAAATGAATTATTTAAATTAGTTTATTTTAGGTAGCAGTAGAAATATTAAATATATTAATAAAAAAAAAATGATATTTAATTTTCAAATTTTCAGAATAACAGAATTTTTGAATGATTGCTTATTTTTGAATAGATATAAAAAAATTGTTTATGTTAAATTTGAAATAATTCTAAGGGATTAAGAAATGTCTTGAATTTAATTTCATTACACAATTAATTAACAATCAAATAAAACATTTAGCATAAGATCAAAATTGGATTGATAATTATAAAAATGAAATAATCTTTATAGTAGAATAAATTGATTATTAAAATAATGATGATAAAGAATTAAATATACTATTTTATTTTGATAATACTTTTGATTAAGCTATTTAATCATTTTGTGGAATTAAAGCCTGTTTATTGCAGTTTAGAAACATATAAAACTATAGAAGATGATATTTATTAATTAGATTATGTGGATTAGAATGATATTTAAAGTATAGTAGACATAGATGATAATTTAATATCTTAACATGTAATGATGGAATAACTTCTGTAAATGAGAATTGCGATGAAGGAAATCTAATACTTTTTTGATGGATGTATTTATTGTAATTATTTATTTGAATTATTATATTGACGAATTAAGTTAGAAATTATCAAGTTTTCTATTATATTTGATAAATCTCTTGTGTTAATAAAATATTATTTAATAAAAATTATTATCAATAAATAAGAGAATGAGATAATTCAATTCATTAAGGATTTAATCATGGTAAAATCAAAGTGGGATATGTTTTACATAGTATTCTATTTGTAAGAGTTGTGGAATCTATTGTAAAGATTGTTTATGATTCATTTTATTGGATCTTATATGTTATGTTTGTATGCCATTTATTCAATTTTAGATTAATTTTTGTAATGTGGAAATAATTATATTATTTGAAAAGGCTAATAAATTTATAAACATCATGCTATAGAAATGATTGTGAGCGATGGTTATAATAATACTGATTTCTAAAATATAATTTGTATAAGTTTATGTGGAGATGGAGTTATTAAGTCAGAACAAGAGAATTATGATGATGGGAATTTAGAAAATGGAGATGTGACTCTGAATGTAGAATCGAATTATTGAGAAAACTTTATTAATAAATATCAATTTGACAATTTAATGAAAGATACCTTAATAATTCATAGTATAAATTAGTGCTAATATTTAGATCTTGAATTATTATTGAAAGTATGCAAACTAATTATTTTTAATACAACATTTAAACAAACTAATACCCTTCGAAATTCAATTTAATCTCTATAAATCTATTTTCAAATAAAGTATAGTCCTTTCTACAATGATTATAATGATATTTAGATTTAATTGCAAGAGCTATTGTATTCAAGTGACTCTAGTGATGTAAATAGAGATTGGTCATCTTTTGTTACTTTTCCTACATACTAAGGGTTAATAGTCTGATAGTTCATATTATTTTAAGAACTTTAGAATTTAAAAATAAAGTAGATCCATTATCTTTAATACTATCTAGATTCCATTACTTTCATCTTAGATGAAATTAATTTCTAATTATTATAATTCTTTAAGTCTAGAAATCAAATTAAAAAAGTCAAAACCAACCATATAAACTCTTTTATTCTTATTACAAGATATTTTAATAGAAGGAAAATTAGGAAAAATATAAAATTTATAGCATATTAATGAAGATAATAAATATTTATATTTTTATGGAAAAGAATTTAAACAATAGATTAAAATAGACTTTTTTATTATGATTTTCAGATATTATTTATATAAGCTATTTGCTTTAAATTATGTTTCAAATAATAATTCTATCATTACAAAACACGAAACCTTCATGTATTCCTTGCAGAAAATAAATAACACAAAGAATAGTTTGAAGTTTATTACAAAAATATTAAAAAACCAAAGAATAATTTAGGTATTATATTTAATTATTTATAAAGGGTTAGATAGATTTTATATTTCTTTTTTATGGTATGTTATTATTATACACCCAGTATTTTAAATTCATAAAATAAAAAAATTAAAAAGAATTATCCCATACTTAATTATATTAAATTTGATTTAAGCTTAATTTAAGCAAATTTAGATATTAAAGAATAAAAATATTATTATAAAAATGATTTAATATTTAAATTTGTTTCAATTTTTGCTAAGTAAGCATTTTAATATTTCTTCTGGTGTGACAATAAATTACATATATTTCTAAATAGAAATGAATTAAAATATACAATTAGGTCTTTGTCATCTGAAAACAAATCACTTTAGATTTGATTCAATTTGATGCTTTTTAGGTTAACCTTTGATTTTAGGTTTTCAGAAACCAAAGCTATATTTAACCTAATTATGAGAACACCTGAATGTACAAAGTACTAAGTTTTACCAAATCTAAATAATGAATCCATCCCTTCAAGTTTATTATACTTTAAATTAAATGCCTTTAAAATATAATAAAAATAACTCACTTCATTTGGATTAATTTCATTAATTTCTACATAATATGCTTTAAATTTATTAATATCATTCTCTATTATTAACTCCCCAATATTAATCAATATTTTCTTAAACCAAATCCATTATTTTAATATAGATATTGCTGTAGCTATTTTACATTCTATTTTATATGTAATTAATTATACTTTTGCCTGTGCTTTATTAAATGATTCTTATTAATTTGCTTAGAATTATTTCAGTAAAGGATAAGCAATTTAAAGTAAATTTAATTTCATGATCTAATTCTATATTCAAATTTTAAAACAGATAAACCATTAAATATAATGGAATAGTTTCAATAATGTAAGTGTATTTAAACTTATGGGAATATCCTTTTGCAGAATTATTTTTTTTTTATACAAGTGGCCAATAGACATTCCTTGGTTTAGGGTTTTCTAAAAATTCATCAATTTCATCATCATTACTAGGTAATTTTGTTAAAAAATCATTTAATAATTTTGTATAGGTGTTGATCTCAACCTAAAATTTTATATATAATAATTTACACAAGCAAATTAAAGAAGTGATAAAGAATCATATTTTTAATTTTATTCTTCTTAAGTAATTATTACTGGTATGTATTTATAGACTTATAGTGAAGTAACAGGATATAATTCTGGAAATGTTAAATCTATTTAAATTTTCTAATTCAATTATTTTTAAATTCTTGGTTTATAATTACTAAATGGAAGAGCTAAAAGAAGAATAAAATCATAAATTACTCTATAATTTATCTTAAAATTGTATGTTTATTTCTTTTTAAATTCTTGGATTTATGAATATCCAATTTTTTTTATTTTAATAATCAATTTCTATTCCATCTGGTTATTCTTCACTTTTTTATATATATTATATTAAATTTAATCTATCTTTTTTTTGATCTTAAAAAGAATTAATAATTTCATTTAAATAATATTTATCTACCTATTAAATATTCCTTAATTATTGATAATTTTCAATATTTAATTTCTATTTAATAATATAACTATCAATGAAATCATCTTCACATAATTTTTACATTTCCTAACAATTTTTTTTTTCATCAAGAAGAAATACATCAATATAATAATCAAACATAAAAATTCTAAAAATCTTATCCAATTCATCATAAATTTTTGAATACAAATATACTATTGGAAATGGATTATTAGGATTTTTACTTCTTAAAATGTTTATAGTTATATCAAAATTAAAGAAATAACAAGAATGCATTTTTTATTTTTCAGATTGTTTTTTAGTATGTTGATAAGTTATAGGTGTAAATTTATCAGAGATTAAAAATTTAAAGCAATAAGATACATTAAATGTATCTGTTTTCTATATATATCCTTCAAAACCTATACTGACTTCATTATCATCTAATAAAGAAAGTACTTATAATTTAGTTTTTCCTTCATTTTAATCAAATTCAATAAATTGTTTTTCTAATTCTTAACAATACTTAAATAAACATAATATATGTATCCATTTATCATTTGTAAATTATTAATTAGATTTTCCTTAAAAGAATTTATCTATAAAATCTCTATTCATTTATATTTTCTTAAATAAAAAATTCTCATCATTTACTTTCCTATTTTATTGATGATAAATAATAATTTCTTCTTAAAATTATTTATCATTTTATAGAGAATTCATAAATATATTATTTTTCTATTTGATTAAACATGAATATGCAGGATTCCTTAATAAGTTATCAATAATATTCTAAAATCCTGAGTATTTGGTTTTATATATCTGAGTAATTAAAAACTAATATACTTTACTATACTTAGTTTCTTTAAGATTTTGATTGAATTTTATAATTTCTTTCACATGTTAAATATCCTCAATCTATTATTAAGATAATGTATTAATATTTGATTCTATTTATTGAATGAATTATTCATTATAGGGTTCTTGATATCCCTATTCTAATAATCTAGATTGTACTTCAAAATTAATTTCCTTAGGTTCCTATAAAGGAGGCAATGATTAATATTGTATTAAATATTTTTGGATAAGTTAAAAAGATTCTTCATTAGTAGTTGCGAGAAAAAGCAATTAGATATATATTTAGAATCTTATCTAATCAGGACAATTCAATTATAATTATCTTCTTAATCCTTTTAATGGTTCAATGTAATCTTTAGGTTTATACTTAATTACCTTCCTTTTTTTCTTTATTTTTGGTGGTTCCTATAATTCATTTTATTCAGAAATCTATTGATCATATGCTTCAGAATTACTATCTTCTATTTTATCATCTTATTATAATTCCTATTAATTTTCTTCTTCTTTATCAGTTTCTTCATCCTCGTAAGGTTCCAAATCACTTTAACTTTTATAATCTTAAAATTAAAACTAATTTTCTTCTTTTTTTTCATTATCGTTATTATATTCGTTACCTTCCTAATCTACTTCTTTTGCAAATTCCATCAAAGAAGAAAAATATATATCTAAAATCTAATCCAATAGTTGTGGTTCAAAGATTAATAATGATTTAAAAAAGACCAATCCTAATTCTAAATTCAAAAAGAAAGTATTTATAATAAGGTTTTCTTTTGGAATTTTCTAATCATACCAAAATAAAGGAAAGTTTAGTAAATAGTATTACATTTCATGAATTTAATTATGACTAACAATATATTTTAAATATGTAAAAATGTTTATCTTATCTACTAGAAATTCTTAGTTCTAATTAATTACTAATAGTTTATTTAAAATAGATTAGAAATTAGGATCATTCAATATTTAATTTTCTAATCTCAAAGGATCATTTTTATCTAAACAATCAATATATTCATCAAGTGAAAAAATTGGTTTTTTTGTTTATGTCTAATTTATATCCTCAGTTGATATTGAATATTAATCACTTTCAGAATCATAATTTGAAGGAAAACAAAATTTCACTCCTTTTTCAACTCCATTTATTTTTAATTTAATTAATGAAAGTTCAAATAATCTTGGAATGATATTTTTTTTATTGAAAAATTGATAATTTCTGCTTTCATATTTCGACCTAATAATAGAGTCTTACCAAAACGGTTATGGTCTTCTATTCATAATTAAGTATAATTTAATTATGTTTAAGCACCAGACTTCAATTGTTGAAATATCTTCAACTATGAAACTAAACATGAGTTCACTTTCAAAATTCTTATAGAAAGTTTATGTATCATAATGATTCAATCTTAAATATCTCATCATTTTTATACAATTACTAATATAATTTAACTCCTTTTTCTCATATTCTACAGCTAAAATCTATAATTAATTATTTGTCTCCAACATAAATCTTATAGAAGGGAATGGTTCAATTTCTTTTACTTTTATATTCAACCTATGAAGAGTATCATAATATTCATAGAAGCTAAATTAAGCTGCCATTTAAGATAAAGAAAATTATTTATTCTCTTCTTTTTATTATGTTTTGTCTTCTTATTACATTTTATCATTCTATGGCTGGATAGTTTAAATCTAATAGCTTTCAATTTCAGTAATTTTTTATTTAAAAATTCCCTCATCTTAATTACATATTTTCTTGAATAAAATTTCATGAATCAAAGTATCATAGGCCTTATATCGCCTATAGAATATTAAAGATTCAAATAATCTTCCATCAAATTTACTAAGTATATCATTTTTAAATTTCTAATCCCAAGGAAGTTTAAATAATTCTTTAAAAATTTCTTAACAATTTTTATCAGAAAAATTAGAAACATAATTTATTAGATCAGTTTTTTATAATACTTCATTTAATTATTTTTTTTTAAATGACATTATTATCTCATTATGAGTAAGACGTTTTTTTTTCAATATTTTATCTTTTTCTTTTAAATAATAACTAGCAAATGATTATAGTATTTTATCACTCAAATTTCTTTCTCTTATTGTTTGAGCTATATTCTTTAATTAATCTTGAAATTAATCTTTTATTTTTGATTAATATAGGTTCATTAAGATTTCGCTTACCAATTTCTATTTATAAATTGATAAAGGATTAAGAACAATAGGTTTAAATCTTTTAAGAATTAAATTTATTCGATTAAGGATTAAATTATTTATTTATTCTAAATTAGATTCTTCCAAAATTCTAAGATTTTTTATGATTAATGGAATTAATTATAAAAAAATTTCCTAGTTTTACAATTAATACTGTTCATAAACTTATTTATTTTTACAATTTAATAATTAGTTTAAAAGTTCCAAAAGTAGATTATTTTTTTTTTAAATATCTATTTTACTAGAAAGTATTTATTTAATGAATTCATCAATAGTTATAATTTTGTTATAGGCCAACATTTTAAGAACTATTTCATAATCCTCATCCTTTTAGCATAATGGGACTTTATATTTCTTATATTCATTTGTTAATTAAATTAACACCTTTTTAAATGAATATTTATCCGATTCATAGTAATCTTGACTGAACAATGTTCTAATCGATTATCTTTATGTTGAAGATTTTAAACTTTTCAGATATTGAAAATTATAGATATATTTTTCAAATTATTACTCAAATTTTAATAGATTAATTCTTTCAGGCTTTGGATATTATTTTTATTTATATGATTCTAATTCTTATTATATATTAGAGTCCATTTCTAGTAATTAATTTTAAATAGATATTGGATTTCTGATTTAATCTAGAGTTTCTGGAAATACAAATTTCTCAGCTTATAATTTTTCTTTTTATTTTTTACTAGAATTTTTTGGTATAGTAGATATAAGATCAAAACGATATATAAAATGAGAACCCAAAATCTTCAAATGATTTATAAATCCAGATTTATCAAGTTTACCAGGTAAATCAAGACGATCTCTTACTAATTTTTTTAATTCCTATTTATTCAAATTGGATTGAATAGTTCTTTTAGGCTATTTTTAATTTTCTTCTTCATCATCACTAAAGAGTATATCTTCAAATGATGATAAATGTAATCTTCCGAAAAAGTAGTCTGCATTATATTACTATATCATTTGTCTTTCAGCAATAATGCTGACTAATTATATAGTTTAACGAAGAATTTAAGAATCCTTTATATGCGGAATTAGGATTTCAAGTTTATCATATTATCCATTTATAGCAACAGCCCTAATAGCATTTTCAATATCAATAAATTAGATATTATCCTTAAGAGCTCGTTTAAATCTTTTATAATCAAGTATAGCTGCCCAACTTCTTCCTTATGCATTAATATAAGGTAAAAGTTAATTATAATTATAACAGGCTTTATTTTTAAATAGATATTCAATATCTAAAAGACAATGGATACAATATAAATCCATTTTATTTCGAAAATAGTCTATATAAAGCTTTTTCCAAATATTACTTATTTTAAAATCATAATTTCTAAACCAATGCAATATTTGTATTTATGTTATCCCAATAGATTTTTTAGTTTAAAATGAATTTAAAATCAAACCATGAACAATTCGACTAAATTTTGAATTATCACATACTAGCTACAGAATTTAATCAGCCTTTGCAATGCTCATCAATTTTTCAATTTATTCTTTATTTAATATATATCTATAGCCATTTTCTTTTTCATCTAATAATAAATTTGGATTAATTATTATAGAAAATTCCTTGCTGTCATAATTATATTTTTCAGTTTCGTCTTTATTTTAATCCTTAATTAATAAAAATTATATTAAATCCTTTAAAGGTTCTTTATTTTAAGAATTTGATAATGCTTTCCCCAATAATTTTGTGTCCAACCTGTCTAAATTTTTAATCTCTATTTCTGTAATTAATGTATTGAATTACACCAAGTTTAAGAATTCTAATAATGTTTGTGGTTTACCTTTATAGAAATATTTGAGTTCATAATATGAAGATATAATATTTATAGGCATAGATATTACTAAAATTTCTGTATATGATTAAATAAAATCCTTTAGTTAACGTACTATTAAATTTTATACATTTTCCAAATATTAAGCTTTTTAATTTCTTATTTCCAACAACATTAAAATCTAAATTTAAAAATAATAAAGTATTAATAAAATTTCATCTGATTCTAATGAATTATTATAATACTCTTATTTTTTTACATCATTATACATTTATTACAAAATAATTATTAACTTTTATTGTTATTTATTTTTAATCAATAATCTGCAAGGTAAATTAATATATCTAATAGTTTTTAATTTTTCTAATGGTGGAATCCATTAAATAAATGGAAACAAAAAATCTATTTATTAAAATAAACTCTCTGGTAGTTTTGAAATGAGTGATTAAATAATAAATTAATTGTCAATATCCCAAACAAAAGATACTTCCTTCTATTCTTATTCTATTTATTCACCTTGTATCTCATCTTAATCTGGAATTAATTTTTAACATATAAACAAATATGTACCAAATTCTCTTTAAACTCTATCTAATTTTTTCTTACATTTTGATCCTAATATTTCTAAGTACAAAGCCAATGGTGTAAAATCTCCAGCTCTTATTTTTTAAGTTTTCAATATTGAAAAATTTGATTTATTTGATAGATTAACAAATTATTCAATAGATATTAATATTTCTAAAATCTCATTTGCTGTAAAGTTTGGATTTAAAATTACATTATGTAAAATGTTTTTACGATATTCCTTTTACATTTTGGCCCATTAGAAAGGTTATTCTTTTGTTGTATTTTATAAAATAGATTATTATTTTTAATTATCTTCTTAATTTTTATTTGATTCTTGTTTTGGTATATTTCCAATAAACATATCTTTATATGGATTGAATTATTAAAAAATGACATTTAATTATTATTTATAGGCATTAAAAAGTGATTAAAGTACTTAAAATGGAGCTATTTCTAAAATATTAGAAAATGGTGTAATTCCTTAGAAATCTGCAACAAAAAACCATTCTGAATATTTTTGAAATATTTAATGACTCTTTTCCCATTTTTATCTTCTCACAATTTCATGTATAATATTTTAACCAATTTATTTAAGTTATAAGGATTCAGCTTTCTTAAATAAATTTTAATCTTTTGGAAAACAAGGTATATCAAAATAAATTGACATCTTTGTATCTATATGAGCCTATTTTAAAGCTCTTGTGAATTTTGTATCAATTTAAAATTTTTGAATCATCTTATTCAATTTTCCTAAAACCATTATATGCTCATAATTCTTTGGATTGAAATCTAAAATAATATTTTATATAAATACTATTTAAGAATGGAGGTTTATTAGATAAAATGTTTTCAGTTGCATAGGAATAATTTTGTATCAAAATACCTATTTCAGGTTTTTTTTCTAAAGCTTTGATAAAATAAATAATAGATTTTAATTTAGTATTTTTTCTCAAATGTTAACCTATAAGTTAAAATAGATTATTAGAAAAACCCTCTAAATTTAATTCTTCTTCTCCTAAGAATTTAATTTCTTGTATTGCTTCAAGAATTCCTAATAAATCATCACTAAATATAAGAAAATCCATTAAGTTATCACCAAATTCTATACATTCAGTTAAGAATAATTAATTAGCTGTACATTTCATTTCATATAAAGATTCTTCAATAACTTTTCTAGATAATCTTCCTTATCTACTTAGAGATCTAAGATGAGTTTAAATTTTAGTAAATTATCCATATCTATTTAATTCATATAATAATGCCATATTTGCATCAAAATTTTATTTTTTAATTTATCTTGAATTGGGTCTAGATCTACCATAAAGTTCAGGATTATTATATTTTTATTCGTAAATCAATACTAATTGTCCACATTCAATTGTAAGAACTTCAACAGTGCATTCAGGTACTATTTTTGAAGTAATCTATTCTATATTCTGACTCACTATTTATTCATTTTCATCATTATTCCATTTATATTATTGTCCTTACATTACCTAATCAATAATACGATGATCTGTTTTTTCTTTTTCATTTTTAGGAGATCCAGGATTTCCAGAATTTTTAACTAAATAACAATTAATTTATACTTTATATGATATTTTCATTTCCAAATTAAATTATTTGAAATTATACATTCCCAATATAGGATTTAGTTTATTTCATAGATTTAAACATTTCCTTTTCAATCAAATTTTCAGTAATCACTTTTTTTTAATAATTAAGTACTTTCTTTGCCTCAACATAATCATCATTTATTATATCAAATTATCCAACATATTTCTATAAAAATATTAATAAATATATACTTCATCATTATTTTTCACTTTCCACAATACTACTTCAACAATTTCATGTCCATTTCTTGTATAAACAAAATCAAGTATTTCTGTTTATGCTTTTTAATATTCTTTTGGGAGACTTTTCATTAAACTTTACTTTCGATATAATACTTCCCAACTGAATAATGCTGGATTGTTATGATTTTTTGAATTATAATCATTAAAAAATTTTAAATTTTGAATTCTTAATATACACAATACAGTATTTTGATTTATTTTTTATTCTATTGATCCAAACAATAGATAAGTTTAAGTTTTTTTGTATTGTCCATCTGTCAATATATTTATTTATTTTAGATAAACTTATTTTTTAGGACCCTTAAATTATTAATCAATACTCTTCCCTTATTATACTTATATCAATTCAGAAGAAGCATCTAAAGTCGATAAAGGTTTAAGTTTCTTTAAAGTTCGAGCTATTTCCATAGTTTTATTAAGAATATTTTAATGTTTGACTTTTGAGGATCGGGAAATCAATTAGGCGGGAATTTAAACCTTTTCGTTTTAACCATCCTTTCTAAAAATAATATTAATCAAAATTACACAGTTAAATTAACTAAAGAATAGATTTTTTACTCACTTTAGTTATCAACAGATTTATGTAATGAATTGCTTAGCTTTAATTTTCTTTTTGACTATTACTGATGAAAATATTTAAACCTTTTTTTTTATAGCTTTTGCTTTTGAGTCTTATTGCTCTTTAAAAATGTTTTAATAGAGGAATTAAGTTGCTTTCATATTATACAATGATATTTAATTTCAAATTCTAAATATAATTTAATAGGCGGATCCCCTTAAGATTTTTAAATATTAAAAAATAGATATGAAAGAATTAATCAAGATCATTTATATTCTTAATGAAAAATTATTAGCTTTAACAATGATCTTTGAAATAAACTTATATTTACAAGATACTTAATTGAATAATATTAACGATAATTCTAATTATATATTGGAAATTTAAATTCAATGATAAAAACAAATAAAGTGAGAATATTTAACTCTTAAAAATTATGCTCTTTATCTTAGATGACTAGAACTAAGTTAGGTAAATGGAAATATTTATTTAATAAGTTAAGGAAGGTTATAAATAATATGTAGAATTATTTTTAAATCTAAAATTGAAATGAGTTAGGCTCAATATAAAATAGACCAAAATGTTAGAAAATGTTAAGCAATAATAATAAGAGTGTATTAAGATTTAATAAGTTGAAAATTGTAATAAGAATCATCTTTTTCTATTAAGTCTGAAATAATGTGGTAAAATAAACTTATAGATTAAGAAATCGTACATTTAGGAATACAGTTGCATGTTTAATGAATAATGGATTTGAATATTTAAATATAAAAATTTATAAGTGATCATAGCTTAAGGATTTTAAGAAATCTATATATAATGTTTAATTTAACAGACTTCAAATAGATAGAATGGATGTCCAATCAGCTAATAATTATTCTAAAATTAGACAATTAGCGTCTATCATCATAATTAAAGGTTCTATTCAGAAAAATTAACAATTAATATTATGATTATTATTAATTAGTTGGTGTTGTATTTTTCTTATTTAAATAATTCTATATGAAATCTTGTTTCTTATTTAGAGTCTGCTTGTATATTTAAAATCATCAAAAAAAAACAAAAGGAATTAAATATTGTTATTATTNAAAATTACACAGTTAAATTAACTAAAGAATAGATTTTTTACTCACTTTAGTTATCAACAGATTTATGTAATGAATTGCTTAGCTTTAATTTTCTTTTTGACTATTACTGATGAAAATATTTAAACCTTTTTTTTTATAGCTTTTGCTTTTGAGTCTTATTGCTCTTTAAAAATGTTTTAATAGAGGAATTAAGTTGCTTTCATATTATACAATGATATTTAATTTCAAATTCTAAATATAATTTAATAGGCGGATCCCCTTAAGATTTTTAAATATTAAAAAATAGATATGAAAGAATTAATCAAGATCATTTATATTCTTAATGAAAAATTATTAGCTTTAACAATGATCTTTGAAATAAACTTATATTTACAAGATACTTAATTGAATAATATTAACGATAATTCTAATTATATATTGGAAATTTAAATTCAATGATAAAAACAAATAAAGTGAGAATATTTAACTCTTAAAAATTATGCTCTTTATCTTAGATGACTAGAACTAAGTTAGGTAAATGGAAATATTTATTTAATAAGTTAAGGAAGGTTATAAATAATATGTAGAATTATTTTTAAATCTAAAATTGAAATGAGTTAGGCTCAATATAAAATAGACCAAAATGTTAGAAAATGTTAAGCAATAATAATAAGAGTGTATTAAGATTTAATAAGTTGAAAATTGTAATAAGAATCATCTTTTTCTATTAAGTCTGAAATAATGTGGTAAAATAAACTTATAGATTAAGAAATCGTACATTTAGGAATACAGTTGCATGTTTAATGAATAATGGATTTGAATATTTAAATATAAAAATTTATAAGTGATCATAGCTTAAGGATTTTAAGAAATCTATATATAATGTTTAATTTAACAGACTTCAAATAGATAGAATGGATGTCCAATCAGCTAATAATTATTCTAAAATTAGACAATTAGCGTCTATCATCATAATTAAAGGTTCTATTCAGAAAAATTAACAATTAATATTATGATTATTATTAATTAGTTGGTGTTGTATTTTTCTTATTTAAATAATTCTATATGAAATCTTGTTTCTTATTTAGAGTCTGCTTGTATATTTAAAATCATCAAAAAAAAACAAAAGGAATTAAATATTGTTATTATTTTCACTATCTTATTATATTATAAAAAAATAATCTATTTAACAAATCCTCTCCAAGAACAAATGATGATATTATTCATTTTTAATATTGATGACTGTAACTTTATTATTATGAATCAGATGCCAAGATGATGGATTAAAAAAATTATCAAAATGATTGAAGAAAATAAGAAGAAATCCTTCAATGTTTTAAACACTCTTTTAAAATTGGAGTCTTATTCTGTTTTAATCATTTGATTAAATACTTCGTGACATGACAAAAAAGAATGGGATATTAAGTTACAATCCTATATTTAAAAAGTACTTAGATTTATTTTCATTTAAGAGTTATATTATAAATTTATAATCCACTACAAAAATCAAGTTAATCTATACCATTAAACTAAAATATTAGAAAACAATATTCAACATGAATGCTTCTCTAAAGCATAGTTGATTTTTTGTATGAAAAGGGAAAGTGTATATATACATATATTTATCTCATTTTAGGATATTATTATTTGTAATATATTTATATACATTATCGAATAATCATCTGAATAATTTATTTTTATGAGTTTGTCTCTCACATTCAACTATAGATGTAATTTAATATATATACTTATGCCTTTTTTAGATAGTAAATTTTATGGATTGATCAAAGTAGACTTCTTATAGAAAATTATGGCCTCTTAATATTTTTATAATGATTGTAAGCATTTTCCTATATAAATATAAATATGCAAACCTTTTAAGTACAAACTAAAATCATTATTTGGATTAATTATCAATGCTTTATCAAAAATTTTAAGAGCTTCCTCAAATTTACCCATTTCACGTATTGATTCACCTAAATAATAAATGATTAATTACCTATTATTTATAATGAATCTACATGTTATGGATTAATAGCCAAGGCTTAACCAGCCCATATTATTGCAGTATTTAAATCACCAAGCATATATAAACATTTAGCTAATACATTTATATATAGTTTTTATACCTTTTAAATATAATGATTAAAAATGATTTGGATTAATGGATAATGCAGAATCTATGAATTCTAATGCTCTCCTATAATTACTATTGTCTAATTATAATCTGTATCCTACATTAATCTAATCAATACCTTTTTAAAATAATTCTTCAACTTTATCTATTTCTTTTTGTTATTTATTATATTGATATTTATTTGTTTGCTCTATGAGTAATGAAAAAGGCTGTTGTTTATTTATGTCTTATTTTTGATCTAGTTTCAAATCTTTAATTTGTCTTTTTAATTTATTGATCAAATTATTATACTATGGCTCTAGTTCTGTTAATAAGCCAGTTTTAAATTCATCAAATTAAATTATTTAATCTAAAGTTGAATTCAATTGCCTTGCATTTTATTTTTATAATCTCTCTTTAGAGAATTAATATTTTTTTCTTAATCCTTAATTTAATTCTAAAGTCAATTCTTTTAATTCATTAATAATTGAACATAATTTTGATATTAAATTTTCACTTTCTTGTTCCATTTCATGAAAAAAATTAATTAATTCAACTAAAGTTTTTTAATCCTATAAATGAGCAATATGATCTCCTTTTTTAAGACATTAATGACAATAAATTCTATTAGCTTTACATTATTTATTTAAGCAAGCTAATTCTATGAACTCATGTTATTCAATAGAACATTTTACCCGAAATCCTCCTATTTCATTCATATCTAATTCTATAAAATTAATTAAATTTAATATTTTCAATAATATTATGTAATTATACTTTAAATAGAAAAACAATTCTATTAAATAAATAATTCACCAATATGTTTGTATTTTATTTGAGGCTTTAAGATTTTCTCAGTTGTATTTTGTAACATTATTGAAAACTATATAAATTCTAGAAATTAATAAAATTAAGAATATAATTTAAATACTAATAACAATTTAATAATATTATCAGAATTATTTTTAGAATCTGAATAACTATAGCACACATATTTATTGTAAATATATTTTGTATAAGATATTATCCTACAAATTAAGAAACTATCATATATTAATAATTAAGATATCAAATTTTATAATTATTGTACAAGTATTTTAGGAAAGAACATTAATTTAATATTAAATCTTAAAAACTTTGTTATTGAAATCATTTTTGGATTTGGATTTGGATTTGGATTATTTCAAAAATTGTTTCTGATTTCATTTCATTATTATAAAATATCTAATTTACTTAGTAATTTGAATTATTTCTTATTATTATACTAGATTTTTTATCATTTTAATTTCTAATAATAAAATTAAAGAAAAAATAATGGATCTCCATAACAATTCTTCTGAAGTGATATTTAATTTCTCTAATTTTATTGAAAATGTTATCATTTAATTAAGCTTAAATTGACACTTAAATTAGAAATAAGCAATGTTTTTTTCTTCACATGCATGACAAATGATAAAATTACTTTGAATATAATTGTTTTGATTGCATTAAGTAGTTACAGTTAAATCCATAAATGTCTAAGCTTTATTAAGTATTATTGATTCATTTTTTAATTGCTGTTGTGAGTCAAGAAGTATATTTTCGTATTATTTCACTTTAATTTGTTTTATTTTGAATGGATTTTATACTAAATATATTTATATATATATTTATACATCTATTACACTTATCATTCTCTACAACCCATTCATCAATACACTCTAAACAAACATCTTTTTCAGTACATTTTAAACAATTCTTATCAGAACATTTTATGATGAAAATATCAAATGAGATAATTCCCCAATAGGCATTTTATCCTGTTAATTAAATAGGTCTGATCTTTATAATCGAATTGTTATTAGTATGGTTAATAGATACATCTATATTCTTAATACTTTCTTAATAAGATGAGCCACATAAAGATAATTATGAATTTGAAGTCAACTAAATGTTTGTAATCAAATCATCAATTTCCAAAACAAAATAATTAATTAGACTTTATATATCAATAAGAATCAATTAAAGTTTAACTTTGATTTAATAATGAGGAGCTGAAAGATTAACACTACTTTTTATAACACTATTTTTATCTAAAATACCAAATCCTCCTTAAATTTTTTACTAGAAATACATACAGATGATTGGATAGGCTAATCACTCTAATTATTCCATTCATTAATCTTAATTTCTTAAATTAATATTGTAGAACAAATTTAAATTGGTTCTTAATCACAGATTGTGCATAAATTTGGACAGGGTAAAATCTGTATCTATAAATTTCTTATACCCCATGATTCCTTCCATATCATTAATATTTTACATTAAAACCATCTTCATTTACAGTAGACAATATAATAATATTTAAAAATTTAGCAGTGTGAGAAATACTAATTTCTATTGGAATAATTAATTCATTCTCATTTGTTTCTAATAATCCACAAATCTGAGATCCCTATGAATAATATAGCAATTGACTTTTATAAATTTATTCATCGATTATAATTTATATATATTCTTCATACCAATCATCTAATCTTTATTTATTTTAATAACTACTTCCATATATCTATATTGAATTTTATCTTAGTATGAGGAGGAAGTTCTAATTATTTTGAGATTTTCGCCCCTACTCCAAAAATGCCATAGCCTCCATACAAAAAACTACCTGCACAATCATATATTAAATTTTATGTTTTTACTCCTTCTGCTGTCCAATCTTATTTTTAATAATAAATTACATTGAGCTTCACTCATATCGTTATTAGTAAAGGCATTATAAAATATTACTTCTTCTTATGCAAGTGAGAAATTAAACGAAATACAAAATAAAATAATAATAATCATTAATCAATATTTGATAAACAATGGTTTAAAAAATAAAAAATGAAAATCTTTAATAACATATGAATAATAATACATATTTTTATATGTTGAATGATTTTTGTAAATTAGGAGTTTTAAATCCGGATTGAAAATAAACAAAAATATTTTCATATTATTCATAGTATTATAATAATCACTTATTTGATAATGTATCAAAATGGCCTTAAAATTTAAGAAACTTTATTAATTATCCTATCGCTAATATTATTATAAATTCTTAATTGCTTCTTAAAAAGTCTGTAAAGAATAGAGAGAAGTATGATTTACTAGTCTACTAAGTAGATTGAGTTAAGTGGATCAATCTAAATGCGAATACAAGATGATTAATTCTACTATGGACACCTTTCAGATTTTAATCATCATTTAGCTGAGAATAGTTGAAAAATTGATTATAGAAGACTTTTTAACAATAAATAAATATCCAAAATAGATCTTGACCTACAAAATTTAATTTTATCATGCATCAACTATATTATTAATTTTTGAATAAATATCATATATCAAACTAAAAATTTTGATTAGAGCTAATTTTAATACAAAATACTTAGAATCAAAAGTGTAAGTATGTTTATAAAAAATAATTATAAAACTTCGATTAAAATAACTGTTGATGAAATAGTTGAAAATGATTTAGAGCTGAGAAAAGAGAAGTTTAAAATATTTCAATAAATAGCTCAAACTTTATCTATCTTTACATTATAGATAATTAGGAATATATCATCACCTAATAAGTAAATGTTTATATGTGTTTTTATGGGAAAATATATGATTTAATATATATTATGTTTTATTCTGATTGAATCAATAAATATAAATTTAAGGCAGATAGTAACAGATTAAAAATTGGAAGCAAAAAGAAATAAAATCTAAAAGTAAAATAAAAAACTTCTTTGCATATAAACTGAAATTTTTTATAATAAGTAGATTTATTAAATTTTCAGTAATGAATATCATGAATAAAGCTATATTTAAAAGATTCTATAAATATTATTTTAATTAATCAACCTAGTATATAATGGTAATTAAAGAAAAATTCTTCTTTAACAAAAAGAAAACTTTAGAGCATTTTTAGCCCTTTTTATCATATCAAATTTGGTGGAAATATGTTGAATATGGCAAAACCTCAAGAAATTAGAGAAAATTATTATAAAATGTTAAAATTATTGGATTAAAGCAGCTTCTCTTAAACTAATGAAGATCATACAATAATATTATTAGTTAGAAAAAAAAAAATTTTATTATACACTAAAAAGTTTAATTAATTTCATATATCAAAAAAAAATAATATATTAGTAATTTTTAGAAAATAACAATACTATATATATTAATTCGTCGATTTATTTTGTTAATGCAAGAAATTCCTGTTGTAATATTAAAATAATAAATTTATACTTTAATTAAGTGAAGGTATATAATTAGAATTAATCAAAATTAAGGTAATTACTTTTT